TAAGAAGACAGTTTCGAGAGTCAGACACATTATTTTTATTTTCGTAAAAAGGGAAAAATAGGGTCGGCAGAATCATAAACCAAGAGAAAAAAAAACTTTGGCCTTATTGACATGTATTTGGGTAATATCTACTTAATTTTCCGTCCGTCAAGGTCACTTCCTGTCGAACCGAAAATGGCTTACATTTGCAATAGTCAACATATATTTGGGTAATTCAGATCATTGGAGATGTCATTACTCATTTTTTTAAAATTAAAAGTTACTTCCGGTCGAAGAGGACAGAAGACATACTCGTTGCTTTGCAACGAGCTTTGCTGTAGTTTTTTTAAAAAACATTTTAAATATTTTAAGTACCAGTCTAATCTTGTGCAAATTTTCTACTTTAACACAAGTTTAATTAAGGCATAATGCATCTTTTGTAATACGCACAAGTTTGCACAATGTTAGGGTAATAGAAAACAAAAGCGTTGAAATGAATGAACATTGTTGCCTTTGATATCATATTCATGAATTTCAGCTGTAAAATTTGTTGAATCGCATGATTTAGATATCAATTAATGATTTGAAATGAAAAAAATTGTTTAATTTGAATCATGTCTTCACATTTTACTGGGCCCAATAAGTGCCCTTGTTCTTAAGTTATTATATGATAACAGTAAACAGTGTTCTTAGAATGATTCTTGTAAATAATCATATTAAAACATGCATCACAAAGTCTGGTAATTAATATTAACAAGAATAACTACATATGGCAAACAAGAATAACTACATATGGTATACAAAATTAGTAGGCCTACTTAATTTTTTCTTTTTCAAGAAACACCTAAAATACGTTTAAATGAAAATTTTCATATGTTATTTGTTTACAATCTATTTAAACCCACTCATTTGCTCTCTCACAATGTCTTAAAAAATAAAAACATGGCAGTGAAATGGCTAAAAGGGTTATAGTTGCAGTGAAAATTAAATCTATTGTCAAAACAGAAGCAAGAGGCCCACAGGCTACAAACCTCACCTCAGGCTCATAGAAAGCAATTTATTTCAGTTGGGGGGGGGGGGGGGGGGGGGGGGCACTATCAACTACCAAACATAGGTAATCACAAATTACAAAGCTCACCTTGATGAATGTTATCTATAAGTTAAGCAAATATCACATCATATTTTTTTCTAGTCATGCAGTTACAGTGCACTCCAAGTTCAATATCCATGCAAAGTTGGTTTAAGCAGGACTTATTCTTATTTACTTAGAAATGGATCTGCTCCAAAAAACTGTAACCCGTAATCTACAGGTTACTCTCAATACCTCAAAGTCTGGGAACAGGGAAAGAGATAGAGAGAAAAAACTTCAAGAGATCAAGAGTTCCAGATTTCAAGAGTCAAAAATTTTCTGGTTTGGTCAACAGACTTTAAAGTCTTTAATACAGATGCAACAAATTTCATTTATTTCCATGCAGTGCTAGTCTTTAGCATGTGGTTTTTATAAAACAATGATATTTTTTCATTTTTTCAGGTTAATATTTTTTTTTTACAACTGATTAAGAAAAGAATGAATATCATCATTTCAATCATTTCATGCATATTTATTTATTCTATGCAATACAAACATCATACTATGGATTCATTTACAAGAGGACCAGGGGCCACATCACTCACCTGAGTACATCGATTAGGAAAAAGCACTATCAGATCAGAACTGAAAGTTTACTGGGGGGGGGGGGGGCTAAAATTTTAGAATTTGAGAATGCCTCCATATCAATACAGCATATGACTTTGCTGTTCTTGATTAAAAGATTTCTTTTTAAACATTTTGTTCCTATATATCACTTCATAATAATTTCAATTTGATTCTGCATTGTTTCCCTCCCTATCCCAAAGGGCCATGATTAAAACAAATTTAAATCTTCAATACATGAGGATGCCTACATGCCAATATTACTAAACATAGCTTTTCTGCTCTTGGGATTTTTCCCTTTATTTTTCCATGTAAAACTTTGATCCATCATCGTGGCCCCATCCTACCCTTGGGGTTCTGATTGTAACAAATTTAATTCTACACTACCTGGGAATGCTTCCATATAAATACTTGTATTACTAATCATGGCTTTGCTCTTCTTGAGAAGAAGATTTTAAAAATATATTATGATGTAAAAACTTGAATCCTCCATTGTAGCCCCACCCTATACCTGGGGGTTATGATTTGAACAAACTAGAATCTACACTACCTGAGGATGATTCCATATAAATATCACTAGGCATGGCTTTGAAGTACTTGAGAAGATAATTTTAAATGATGTCCCTATGTATTCCTACGTAAAACTTTGATAGGCCATTTTGGCCCTTACCCTACCCCTGGGGGTCATGATTTGAACAAACTTGAGAATGATTTCACATGAGTTTCATCTTGTCTGTCTCAATTGTTCTTGAGAAGAAGATTTTTAAAAATTTTTCCTATATATTCCTATGTAAAACTTTGATTAACCATTGTGGCCTCCCCCCTACCCCTGGGGGTCATGATTTGAACAAACTAGAATCTGCACTACCTGAAGATGAATTCATATATCACTACCGTATATACTCGCCTATAAGTCGGTCCGCCTATAAGTCGGTTGTATTTTTTGATGTTATTTTGGTGGGATTTGCTATTGACCCGCTTTTAAGTCGGTACATTTTTTGCTAATGCCGGGTGAAATTTCAAGTAAATAAATTGATGTTTTAACCTGGTTTTAATTAGGGTGAATTCACCATGCATCGGATACCCTTGTACTTCAACAAGTCATAGTGATATCGCTACCGACGGAAAACTATCAAAATGGAGTTTAACATTTAGTATGTGATTAAAATATAAATTTTGGACACAATTATTTGCTTTTTATTGAGAAAATATTATAAAAAATTGAGTTTTTAAAAATAGCTTAGAATTCACCATGGATCGGACATTGTTTACCATGCATCGGACAGACAGTATTTGAATTGGGAAAATATAATACCTTTATTACAGTGCTTTAAATTCCTTGATATGGATAAACTTTCATCTTTTATCTAAGAAATAACCCTCAACTTAAATATAATTGACGATATCGTTGCACAAATGTAGAACGATTCAAGATGCCTCACTTTGCCTTAGAAATTCTTAAAATGCTTGTAATGCAGTAATTCGCACCTTTTTCTCATGGGTTACCATACTGTGGTTTGTAGAAATAAATAGAGTCAGATTCTAGACCTCATATATGGATAACTTGTATTTTGACTGAAAATTTGGAGTTTTTATTTTCTATTTCCGACAAAAACAGATGTCAGAAGGGTTCTGTATGAAAATGCTCGTGATTACCTTTACATTGGAAAGTGTCCAATGCATGGTTAATTTGTGTCCGATGTACGGAGAAATGAACATACTAGTATAAACCAGCTTTAAAAAGAATTTTACAAATATTGAAGAGAAAATTCTTTGAAATTTATGTAAAATTGCCAATCTTTGATCAACTTCACCAAAGTCTGACCCGTTCCGTTGAAGTCAAATTTAAAGAACGATAACTCTAAAAATTGCAAAATCATAAATTTCTGGTTATTCTCCTTTGATGATGCAAAATATGACGTAACTTCAAGGCCATTATCGGAGTATTTTTATCACAACATGATACATGTAATAACAATCGGTATCATTAAAAAATTTAAATCTTCATCTTTAAGGCAGAAACAAATAAATACACAGAACTATTAAGTTGAAAGCGAGTTTATTGCCTAAAGTTGTCCGAAGCAAGGTATGTGTCCGATGCATGGTGAATCCACCCTACTATTTTTCAAAATGACACTGATATTAAATCTTAAATTACTAAACAAAAATTAAGGCAATGCTCACTTCAAAAACAAATATAATTATAAAAATATGTTGAATCTTTTTCTTTTATATGTATAATCTAAGAATACATAAATTATATATTATATCCAGACATTTTCTTCGATGATCGTCGGAAATGCAAATAAAATACTAAATTTCACCCTTCAAAAATATAATGTACCTCTTTATGACTCGCCTATGTCGGACATAGACTTTTAGACCAATATTTAATTCCCAAAATACCGACTTATAGGCGAGTATATACGGTAATCATGGCTTAGAAGTACTTGAAAAGAAGATTTTTAAAGCTTTCCCTATATATTCCTATATAAAACTTTGATCGGCCATTTTGGCACCACCCTACCTCTTGGGCTTATGATTTGAACAAACTTGAATTTACACTACCTGAGGAAGATTCAACATGAGTTTAATCTTTCCTGGTCCAATGGTTCTGGAGAAGATTAAAAAAAAAATTCCTATATACATGTATTCCTATGATAAACTTTTATCAGCAATTGTGGCTCCACCCTACCCCTGGGGGTCATGATGTAAACAAACTTGAATCTACACTACCTGAGGATGATTCCACGAGTTTCATCTTTCCAGTCTCAATGGTTCTTGCGGCGAAGATTTTCAAAAGATTTTTCCTATATGTAAAACTTTGAGCAGGCATTTTGGCTCACCCTAACCCCGGGGTCATGATTTGTACAAACTTGAATCTACACTATCTGAGTATTATTCAACACGAGTTTCATCTTTCCTGGCCCAATGGTTCTTGAGAAGATTTTTTTTAAAAATGCCATTAATTTTTCTCTAATTCTAAATTAACTCCCCTTCAAAAAAACGAGTGGCCCTTCATTTGAACAAACTTGAATTCCCTTCACCCAAGGATACTTTGTGGCAAGTTTGGTTGCAATTGGCCCATTGCTTCTTAAGAAAAAGATGAAAATGTGAAAAGCTTACAACGACAATGACTACGACGATGACAACGACAACAACGACAGACAACGGACAAATTTTTATCAGAAAAGCTCACTTGAGCCTTTGGCTCAGGTGAGCGAAAAAGAAGATACTTGAGTTGCTTTCTTTATAAGGCTTAATAAAACTTTGATTGTCTATTGTTAACGTTGCCCCAACTTTCCTTTTGGGCTGGGTCTTGAATTAGTTGTAATTGGCCCTGTGGTTCTTGCAAAGAAGATGAATATGTGAAATTTTTAGTCAACAAGGACAGACAATGGACAAATTTTATTCAGAATGAGTCACTTTAGCCTTTGAGTCAAAATATACCTTCAACAGATTGTGGAATAATTGTTATATTTTATATCTGGAGTTGTATACCACAAATGATGGAGTAATTTTTGACAATTAACACTCCACTGCTGTTAAACTTCTGTAGTTAGTATGCAAGATATCTGAAAAGTTGCAACGTGAAGACACTAACAATGAAGTCTGGCAAATCTTGAATGATTTTTTTGTCCTTTTATAACAGGTCTTTTACGCCAACAAAGCAACTGCTCGCTGCGAGATCTGTGGAAGTGCATGGCTATGGTCAGGAAATTGATTTCAGTAACACCTTGTATTGGTCAGATGAGTCTGCTGTAATGATAAATTTATAATAAACTTTGTAGTAATTTTTGAGTCATTTTTTGCCCTTTGCTTTTTCAAGCGAGGTGTAATTAACAGAATACAAGATGCCCATGTGCCACACTGCTTATTGGGCACATCAACTAGAAAATAGCACTGTTAAAACGCAAATTGTTATAACGATGCAGAATATAATAAATTGGGATTATTGTGTCATTACATTTTGCATCTAAATCAATCCAGAATTTAATAACACAAATGTAACAGCACACTTTTGAGGATTATTACATTTTGCACCAAGATCAATGCAAAATATAATAATGCAAAATGTAACATTTACATTCAACATGTATTTTGCCTATAAAGTGTGGGGAAAACTAATGCATTCATCATAACAGGGACACTGGGTCAAAAGATTAAAGATGTCATTTTTGTTTGATGTCACAAATGTTGAACGCGTTGGAAGTGCAACATCATAAGCAAAAATCAAATATCATGCTTACTTTGAACAGTTGCATTGGCTCTTCCATTAAATGGAACTTACCTGAACAATATTACAGGAATTTTGAAATGTAAATCACATTTGCAATGAAAGGCAAGATGATTTAATATAAGCAATAAATCATTCATTGCTTAAATAACATGATTTTGAGTATTATTACATTTTGCATTGTTACATTTTCAATTGCATCGAGAATAAGCAAAAGGCAAGAATGCAAGATGTAATAACACACTTTTTGGTCATGCAGCAAGATTGAGTACAATTTCCAACAGAGTAGTGGCCAAAGTTGTCCTTCAGACTTTGTTGTTCTTCAGAAGAAGATTTTTTAAGCTTTCTACTGTATATTCCTATATAAAATTTTGATCCTCCACTGTGGCTCAACCCTTCCCCTGGGGGGGGGGGGGTGTCATGATTTGAACAAATTTAAACCTACAGTAACTGAGGATGCTTCCACATTAGTGTCATCTTTCCTGACCTAGTGGTTCTTGAAAAGAAGACTTTTAAAACATGTCACCATATTTTCCCTATTTCCTAATTACCTTCCCTTGAAAGAGAGAGTGGTCCTTCATTTGAATAAAGTTAAATTCCCTTTACCTAAGGATGCTTTGTGGCAAGTTTGGTTGAAATTGAGGAGAATCAGAAGAAATCAACATGAGGCCCAAGGGCCTTGAATCGCTCTTTTGTTAAACAGTACAAACTACTGTAGATCACTTAATTTTCACGACACCTTATTTTCGCGAGATAGTCATACAGTACCCGCATCGTTATTCTTTACAGGATACACGATACGATAGGATACACGCATGATACGATAGGATACATGCACGATACTTTAGGATACACGCACGATACTATAGGATACATGCACAATAGGACAGTATACACACACGATAGGATAAATGCAAAACACAATACATGCAAAACACGATAAACACCAAACACGATAGTCCTGATAAACGATCTTCAGGATAGGATAAACGCAAAACCTGATAGGATTGTTTCAAAATGCGGAACGTATTCTGACAAGACGAAAAGATTATTTTGTTTAGTTACTGCAATATTTTAAATTAAATATTTGCAAAGCTTCAAATCTAAATTATAAAGTATATCTAATTGTTGTTTATTTATATATATTTTTATACAATGATTAACCCCCTTCCCCGCAGTCACGCATTTTAACGCATTTACCCTTTCCTATTTCTAATGCAAAATCAAGCATTTACTGTTTTCCCGCAATCACGCATTTTCACGCACTTTAAAAAGTTCATTTAATCTTCAATTTATTGCCATATTCCAACTATTTTATACTTGCTTGAATCTCATAAAATAAGAAAGGTTATTTTCTAATTAAAATATTATTTCAGAATATTATTCACGCTAAGCTTTAGAGAAATTTGTACCCGGCTATAAAGTGCTTGCGGGGAAATGGTAAAGTAATATTTCTATGACGCAAGGATTCAATGTATGTTGCATAGCAATTCTGTAAGTTGTAAAGAGTTAAATTGATTATTATGAAATGTAGACTGTAAGTTTTTTAAATTTTTACTCTAGGGTTTGAATTTACATTTATTTATGTAAATGTGAAAATTCTTATCTTAAGGTTGAACTATGACTCGTTTAATTATGGATATTTTAACATACATGTAATTGTTGCACAAAAATCCCTTACATAATTATATGCCGTTTCTCACAGGTATTATTATAAATTAGAGCTGGGCAATAATATCGATATTTCAATATATTGCGATACAATGAAAAAAAATATCGTATCGCAATACGATTTTGTAATATCGATATTTTTGCAATATGCTTAGATTAAGGAATTTTGTCTTTAAATATAAAAATGGACTTATGAAAGTTTGTAATTAAGCCAAACAGTAAGACAGAAGTTGTTTGTGGGAATATTTCAGAGCATAACTTAAATGAAATCAACAAGATTTTTTTTCCGTGTTGGTTACGTATCATAGTTATGTACATTCTGCATGTAAATTAAAGTAAATATTGTAAGAAAATGCCATTTAAATTACATTGAAAATATTGCAATACATATTGCATACAGTTAAAAATATCGCAATATATCGCAATACGAAATCTTGAACCAATACCCAGCCCTATTATAAATTTATGAAATTCTTTGAATAGATTTATTAATTATGAAAAAAATATACATTTATACCCAATAAATTTATCTACAAGTACTAAGTTATTTCACGGAAGAAATTTACGCAATAAATTAAATATCTGTATCTAATCTCTAAAACTTGCAATCTGTGGTGTACCCAAAATTCGCAATTAAATATTAAAATCTTATGGAAAAAATACATGTAGAAGACCGGCTGAAAAAAAGGTCCAAAGAAATCGGCTTCAAAGAACTATATAGTTCAAGAAAATTAATTTCCTGAATAGAAATCTAAATAATTGTTAATATAATGGCGCTCTGCATTAATACATGTAAACTGTGTCAACAGAATATGAATCTGCTACAACTGCACATGTACATGTACGTTTACGCTAAGCTCTCACTTATGTACATGTAAACACTTATATATCAGATACTTCAAACCTCGTATTAATTAACGAACATATGCGACTTTTCCGACTGAATAATTATAAATCATTACTATTAAACTTTGTGTGTACTATTTCTAATGCAAATGAATTATTAAACCCTGAAAATTATTTTAGACTTACCCGGTAATCTCATATAAGGCATATTTGAAGAGCAGGATGTTGGAAGTCCATAACCAATTTCAAATTTGATAAACATGGTTTAACCAAATAGCCAAAATAACATTGACTTCTTAAATAAAGTTATAAACGTATGGAATGAAATCGATTAATATTATAAATTGATTTGGTGCAATACATTTACTCGTCTTGCATGGTCACGGCGGAATCAGACTTCTTTTTTTATTATTATAGTAAAATACTGTAAAAAAATTAATGCGAGCAAATTTTCATAGTTTAGAATGTTAGAATTATTTCAATCTTTTTCACGATCAAAGAAATTGTTTCCTAGAATTAATTCTGTCTGTAACCCGATGAAAATCCGGTGATCCGAAAGAAAACCCGATGATCCGAATGTTCATGTACCATAAGTGCAGTATTTTTTTTTTAAAGTTTATTAAAAGACTTATTTACATAATCATTAGGGAAACATCGTACAAATAAAATAAATCAGCCGATTCAGTTAAGAGACTTTGTTTCATTAAACTGATTTATATGATTTTTTATGTAAATTCAAGCAAGGAAATGATTTTTTTTAAATCCATAAATTGTTTAATTATTTAATTGATTTAGAAAAAATCTTTTATAAGTGTAGTTCACACAAGGTATGAACAGAATCCTGAAAATAGATACTGTTTGACACAAGGTGAGAGAGCAGTTCAGGTATGTTGATGGTGAACACACACGGGCCGAGGTGTCATTTAGGGGGATAGGGGAGAAGGGGGAGTGGGTGTTGACCGCACACGAAGGCGGTGTGCTGATTAGAAAGGAACATATACGTGTCAGTTTTCTGGTAAGGAAAGTTCTTCGATTTGACACTCAGGTGCTTTATATTTATACCCGCACTTTCTAAAGAAAGTTCGGGTATATTGTTGTTACTCATGTCCGTCCGTCCGTCCGTCCGTCTGTCACACTTTTCTTCCCTGAACTCCTCTTACATTTTACACAGTAGCCTAATCATCTTTGGGGAGAAGGTTTGTGGTGTCATGTAGATGTGCAGTAAGGTTTCGGAATTTTGATTTTGCCCCGGGGGGTCAAATGGGGGTCGAAAAATGATGTTTTTTATGCAAAAAGCCCCGTCTTCCCTGAACTCCTCTTACATTTTACACAGTAGCCTAATCATCTTTGGGGAGATGGTTGGTGGTGTCATGTAGATGTGCAGTAAGGTTTCGGAATTTTGATTTTGCCCCGGGGGGTCAAATGGGGGTCGAAAAATGACGTTTTTTATGCAAAAAGCCCCGTCTTCCCTGAACTCCCCTTACATTTTACACAGTAGCCTAATCATCTTTGGGGAGATGGTTGGTGGTGTCATGTAGATGTGCAGTAAGGTTTTGGAATTTTGATTTTGCCCCGGGGGGTTTTTATGTTTTTTATTTTGCCCCCTTACATTTTACAGAGTAGCCTAATCATCTTTGGGGAGATGGTTTGTGGTGTCATGTAGATGTGCAGTAAGGTTTCGGAATTTTGATTTTGCCCCGGGGGGTCAAATGGGGGTCGAAAAATGATGTTTTTTATGCAAAAAGCCCCGTCTTCCCTGAACTCCTCTTATTTTTTACACAGCAGCCTAATCTTCTTTGTGGAGATGGTTGGTGGTGTCATGTAGATGTGCAGTAAGGTTTCGGAATTTTGATTTTGCCCCGGGGGGTCAAATGGGGGTCGAAAAATGACGTTTTTTATGCAAAAAGCCCCGTCTTCCCTGAACTCCCCTTACATTTTACACAGTAGCCTAATCATCTTTGGGGAGATGGTTTGTGGTGTCATGTAGATGTGCAGTAAGGTTTCG